AGCACTTGGCTTTGTGCCTGGTTCTGTTGGAGTGGAGAAATAAAAGGGGGCATGTAGGAAAAGGAATGTTTTGACTTTCTGGCAGAGGCCACGTGACGCAGGACGCTCCGATCCCGGGCTCCCCTCTGTACACCATCAAAGCCTTCATCCCTGCCATTGATTCCTTTGGTTTTGAGACAGACCTGAGGACCCACACGCAGGGGCAGGCGTTCTCACTGTCTGTCTTCCACCACTGGCAGGTGAGTCTTGCTGGGAAGGAGGGGATGGCAGATGAGGCTGTGCTCTGTGCAGCAGATTACACAGGGCAGGCCAAGCATCCTCAGGATCTCCAGTGTGGGCGTTTGGAGCTGGTGGAGGCTTTGTGCACCTTCACAGCCATGAAGCGTCTGCCAGAAGCTCGAGGCTTTGCTCCATGTTACCCAGCGTTTCCCCTGTTAGGAGTGCTGAGTGCTGCTCACCGAGCTCAAGGATCTCTCAGTGCCTGGGAAGGCACGCTGTGCTGGGTGCTGTTTGGGTGCACTGAGCTCAGGGAGCACAGGGCTTGGACTTGTTGGAGTGCTGTGATTGCCACCCTTCAGCTTTGTCTCTCAAGGAAAGCTTTTTGGTCACACTCCATTAGTGACTTCCTACAGGATCAGTCACAGGTGGCAATGTGACTGTTTCTCCCTGCCTGGAGAACAGATGCCGCGCTGGGGCTTTGTGACACCCAAAGGTGTCACACCTGGGGTGTCTGTGGGGCAAGGCACCGGAGCCTTTGCAGCTCAGGCTCTCCTGGAGCTCCCAGCATTGCTCCTCCCAGCATTGCTCTCAGCTGCGGTCTTATTGCAGATTGTGCCTGGTGACCCTTTGGACAAAAGCATCGTCATCCGCCCCCTGGAGCCCCAGCCAGCCCCACATCTGGCCAGAGAGTTCATGATCAAGACCCGGCGCAGGAAGGTAAGCCTGCAGGGCACCAGGATCCGTGGGATCTCTGCCAGGATGGCTGTATGGCTGCTGGCATGCAGAGGAATAACACAGATTTGGGTTACTCTACAGGGCTTGAGCGAGGATGTGAGCATCAGCAAGTTCTTCGACGATCCCATGTTGCTGGAGCTGGCCAAGCAAGACGTCGTTCTCAACTACCCCATGTGAATGCATCTCTGCTGAGCCCAGGGAGCCCAGTGAGCCCAGCACATCCCCACCCCTCAGATCCTCAGATCCCACTTGTATGGCTGGAGAAACCTCTCGGGGTGTTTGTGCACCGTGCGCTCAGCGCCTGCCCCATGCACAGTACAGCCTGGGCCACCGATGCTTTGTGTGTTGTCAGAGCTCTGAGTGCAGTGAGGAGGTTTTCCCTTTAGATCTGCTCTCTGCAGGCACACAGATGTGGTCTGGGCTGCAACCTGTCAGCTTGAGCTGAATGTTTGGGCTCCTGGGCTGTAAGGCTGCTGGGTCAACTCTGCTTTTGGCAGTGCTGCCCATGGTTGCTCTGCTTTCCTTTGGGGCAGGCGCAGTGCTGAGGGCAAGGGCTGTTCTACCAACCTCCCCAGGAAAAGGGGCAAGTCTGGATTTTAGCCTTTTTTTGTACATGTTTTTGGAACCCTGGTAAACATTGAATACAAACTTCCACCCGGAGCTCAGTCTGATCCTTTTGGCAGATGGGAGAGGGGACAGTGCCCTGGTCACCCCCACCGCAGCGCTGCTTTCTGTCTTTGTCACTGTGTCCCAGCCAGGACAAGTCATGCAGGCACTCCTGCATTAAGCTTTTCTTCTTTCTTGCTAGGCTTTGGCCCACTGCTGTGTTTTCAGAGGCTCCAGAAGGCTCAGCCCCATTGCAGCAAGGGCTTTGTCCCTGGAGGGTGGGGGGGGACATCCATCATCCTTCCAGCACAGCTCTGCCCCCAGATCTGTGCTCTAGGCCTGGGTGTCAGCTCTGGGGGGCTGTGCTGTTCCCTAGGGGCAGACCCCCAAGTATCTCCCCTTTTCACCACCCACCCCATCTCTCTGCACACCCCAGTGGGTGCAGGACGGGGCGGCAGCGTGGGAAGCGGTCAGTTCTCACACAGGATGCTCCCAGTGGGATCGCAGCTGGAAAACACTGACCTGCAACAGCCGGCCCCAGATGCGGGGTGGAAATTTTCCACAGATGCAGTCATTCCATGTGAATGGGGAATGTGTGCGGGATGGGGGGGGCTGGAATTCCTCCCTGTCTGCCCGGCCATGGGGCGGTGCAGCGGTAAACTGAGGCACGGCAGCATGGGGAGCTGGGAGCGGGGCTCTGTGCGTTGCCTGAGTTCAGCAGGGCTGGGCAGGGGGGCAGCAGGAACACGGGGCACGCAGTAGGAGCAGTGGGGCCCCTCTGCAGTTGGAGCAGCAGCTGGGGTGGGGCCTCACGTTGGCCCCATTAGTGCAGCACTGACAGCCCCAGTGGGGTCCTGAACAACGGGGTGAGCCCCATCCCAATGTTTTCTGAAAACATCTCCATGTTCCTGACCCCAACCTGTCCCCACATCTGTTTCCAGTGTCCATGTGCCCGTGTTCCTGTCTCGATGTCCCTGTTCTGATCCCAGTGTCCCTGTCCCCATCCTGTCCCTGCCCTGTCCCCATGTCCTTGTCCTCACATCCCCGTCCTCATCCTATTCCTAGTGTCCCCCCATCCCCTCCCATTTCCCCTGTTGCCATCCCAGTCCCCATGTCCCTCTATCCCCCATGTCCCCCTATTCCCATCCCATTCCCCATGTCCCCACCCCACGTCCCCCGTGTCCCCATATTCCTCATGTCCCCTATCCCCACCCCATTCCCGATGTCCCCCTATCCCCTCCCATTCCCCCCGTTCTCACCCTCTATCCCCCATGTCCCCCTACCCCCCACCCCATGTCCCCTATCCCTCATGTCCCCTATCCCTCATGTCCCCCTATCCCTCATGTCCCCTATCCCTCATGTCCCCTATCCCTCATGTCCCCTATCCCTCATGTCCCCCTATCCCCCATGTCCCCCTATCCCCCATGTCCCCTATCCCTCATGTCCCCTATCCCTGTTCCCTCGCCCCCCACCTCCATCACCCCGCAGCCCCACAGCAGCACAACGCAGTCGGGTGGGTTTTGGGGGCGCTGTGCGCATGCGCCGCCCCGCGCCCCCCGCCCGAGCCGCGCTGAGGGCGGCGGCGGCCATGAGGGGCGAGGAGGGGGCCGCGGGGCCGCGGGGGGCGGCGCGGGGCCGGGGGTGACGAGGGGTCCCCGCCGCGCCAGCACCGCCCGCACCGTGCGGGGTTCCGTGCGGGGTTCCGTGCGGGGTTCCGTGCTCCCACGCGGCCCAAAGCCCGCCGTGGGGCCGCAGCCCGGCGCGGACCCCGCAGCCCCTGCGGGCGCTGAAGGCCGCGGTGCGGCGCGGTGTCACCGGCAGCGAGCGGAACGGCCGCGGTGCCCGCGTCAGGTGAGCGCCTGAGGTCCCGCGCCGGGCAGCCTCTGTGCGACGGCCGGGGTGCGGGGTGGAGGAAGCCATAGGAATTTATGGGGCAGCTGGGCTGCCAGACCAACGGTGGCCCCCACAGCCAGCTGTAGGATGCGAGGGGTTGGTTGGCTCTTCGTAGCCAGCTGTGGGACACCTGGGGTTGGTGACATCCCATATTCAGCTATAGGACATCTGGTGTTGGTGGACTCTCTGGGACATCTGGGGTACCAGACAAATGGTGGCCCCCCATAGCTAGCTATAGGACATTTGGGGTTGGTGGCCTCTCTGTAGCAAGCTATGGGACATCTGGGATTGGTGACACCACGTATTCAGCTATGGGACATCTAGGGTTGGTGGAGTCTCCACATTTCACTCTGGAACATTTGGGGTTGGTGGTCTCTCCATAGCCCAGTCTGGGACACCTGGTTTTGGTGGCATCCCATGTTCAGCTCTGGTACATCTGGGATTGGTGGCACTCCATAGCTACAGGACATCTGGGGGTGCCAGACAAATGATGGCCCCCCACAGCTAGCTGTAAGACATTTGGGGTTGGTGGCATCCCACGTTCACCTCTGGCACTTTGGGGTTGGTGGTCTCTCCATATTCAGCTCTGGGGTATCTGGGGGTGCCAGATAAATGATGGCCCCCTATAGCTAACTATAGGACATTTGGGGTTGGCGCTCTCTCCAGATATGGGATGTCAGGGGTTGGTGGCATCCCATATTCAGCTCTGGGACATCTGGGGGTGCTGCCCTATAGCACAGCACTCTCTGTTCCGTGTGCTCCATCCCTCAGCAGCAATGGCTCCCTTAGGAACATTCCGGCCTCTGTGGGGCCTTTCACCATTGCTTTAGGATTTCACAACAGTGACATTTGCACATCTATTTTTAGGGCTGTTTTTCATCCCTTTCTCTTTTCAGAGGAATCAATCCCGGCTCTTTCTGCCTGCTCAGCCCTGGCTTCCCAGGGAAGCGCTAATTTTTTTTTCCACTATCAAATTGATTGCAAAGAGGAGACGGTGGGCAGGGCTGTAATTAGGGCAGGCGCGTGCAGTATGGATCCCTGAGCAACAATTGGGTTCGGCAGCCGGGTGCCCCGTTTGTCTGAGCAGGGAAGCAATGTGAATTCAGCCATGGACGCTTCTTTCTAAGAACGCACGGAACGTGTGCTCGCTTTCCCAGGGGAGAAGCAAAGCGCTGCTCCGATGGACGGAGCGGGGAGCTCGGTACGTGCGCTGCTTCCATCTGCGAGCCGCCGCGCTGGCTCTGTCGAAGCGCGTCTTCCCCTGCAGCGGGACGGCAGAAAGACGAGCGGTGCTGCAGCGCTGGGCCGGCACGAGGGGCAGCGCTGGTGTCCCCGCGGCGAGCGGAGCGGAGCTGGGGGCGTGCCGTGCGATGGGTGGGCTGAACCCGGGCGTCTTTTCTGCCTCTGACGGATGCGCGGCTGCTCCGTTCCTTTCTCGCCGCCCGGCAGCGTCGTGCAGGCCGGCCGGGAGCCGCTCACCATGCCCGGCGCCCGGCGGGACCGCAGGTAAGTGAGCCGAGCGGCGGTCGGTGCCTGCGCTTCCTCCGAGGGCAACCGCCCTGCTGCTGCGCCTTTCCTTCTCGACCGACGTTTTGCCGTAGAGAGAGCGACGGATCGGGCCGGGCACGGGGAGCGTTGTGCTGTGCGCTGACAGCGGGTAGAGGCGTTTATTTTCAGTTCTTTCGCAGCCGTGCTGCGGGTTTGTTCCGGTTGCCGCCTCTCGTTGTCACCCTTTTGCTTTTCAGGCCGGCTCTGTCAAGTTGCAGTTCTGCTTAGATTACATCTGTACCCCATCCAAGTGACCGCCTTTGTGCTTCCAGGGCTGAAATTGTAAGTTCTGCTGTCGCTGATGCCTCCGAGCAGCAGACGGTGCTTCAGTGTTAAAAAGTGGAACGAAGCAGTTCTTTGTTCAGCATTGCTTCGAGGTTTAAGTTCTGTGTGTTGGTTTGAATCACCTTGCAGGTCTAAACGCGTGTTTGTAGAGAAGGAATTGTCCCTTTCAGTTTGTTTTCTGGCTGGGTTCGGTTTGTACCACCTGTAGCCCTTGGTAGAGGAGTGTCTTTTTTGGCAGGAAATATCCGAACCTCACAGGTGACCCAGGGCTGCACGGAGCTGGGAGCTGAGGGTGCTGGGCTCAGGGCTGCGGGTCGCCTGGGATGAGGAAAAGAGGCCAGGAGGGCCCAGAGCTCCACACTGAACCCGAGTTTAAGAATTCAGGAAAGGATTTGGGCGCGCTTTGCTGCTTTTAATTTTAGAAAAGCTGCGTCTGCGAGGAATTGCCTGCAGGCTGAAGAGATAATTAATTTGGGAATTGTGCAGCACGGGTGAAATATTGAAAGGTCTCTTCTGATTTTACGTGGCTTTACGTCTGGCAAGGACGGGGTTCAAGGGCAGAGCTCTGTAGCTGTGAGCCCGGAATGCAGCGGATGAAGTTGGCGCTGAATTTTTAACTCGCACTTGTTGGCTTGGGGACGTGATGGCTGCAGCAGTTCTTAAGTGCAGAAACACCCCCACTCTCCTAAAACACCACTTTGTCCCATCCAGCCCAGGCCTGGGTTGTGGCCTGAGCGCTTTGCTGTCATTCAGGCAGCTGAGACCAACGAGGAAAAATACACGGGTGTTTCCTACTCTCTGCATTTCCCTTTCATTCCCACTGCAACACTGCGGTTGACTGGGAGGTCTGGTGGGAGGTGTTAAACAATCCCCCCTTGTTAAGGGGTTTTGTGCTTGAATTAAACTGTGGTTTAAGATGAAAGTTGGTGGACGCTCGATGAATGGGGGCCGTTCCTCCTGCCGGCATCGATGCCGTGGTCCCAAATCTTGGTAATAATCCCCTAAGGAGGGCATTGCCTACAAGAGCGTGGGGCTCTCGGTGGTGCTGCGAGGTGAATTGTTTGCCCGGGCTATAAATAAAAAGCTATATTTGGAAGAATAAAAAAAAAACAAACAACAAAAAATAGAGTCTTTATGGGCAAAATTGCACCGAGGGAAACGCGATGGAAAATTTGAGTCAGATGAGCTGATGTGTGAGGCATTTCCCTGTGGGGTCACTGGGCTGAAAAATGTTTTGTGTGCCTAAAGTTGAGCAGATGTGTGTGCTGAGCCCCCAGCCTGGCAGCCGCCGTCCTCGCCGTATCGCTGTGCTTCGCTGACGCGCAGAGCTGCTGTGGTGCGTTTGCTGGGGGTGTTCTGGGTCATCCCGGTGCTCAGCACGTGCCTGCTGTCAGCAGGGCTGCTTTCAGGCTTTAAATTAGGCGTGTGCTCAGACGAGTCGCCGAGCTGGGATTGATGGCTTTGCACAGGAGTGAAGGGATTTCTCCCAATTGGCTTTCTTAGATGAAAATCGCCCAGGTCTTCCAGCGCTGTGCCTAAATAAGGGCACGATACCAGCTTTCAGCTCTTACGGATATTAGTTCCACCTTTTTAGGTAGGCATTTGTTAGGAGGCAATTATGATTGCATGTGCTTGACCTTGTTTAAGATATTGCTGAGATACAGAGAGAGGACATCTGCTGTGGGTATCAGCAGCTTTTGCTGTTCTTCCCAAGTGTAAACATTGCAGAGGTGGGTGGTGATTGTGGTTGATGATTTCCCTTTGTCGTGTTCCTCTCGGCCATTGATCTGCTTTGCTCGGGTGGTTTGATTTGCCGTGGAGGTGGCTGTGCGCGCTGCTGCTTCTGCTGAGCTCCCAAAGCCCTTCCAAAAGGTGCAGCGTTGTTTCCACTTTGCTCTCCTGATTGAGCCGCGCTGCTGAAGAAACGTGAAACGGGTCTTTATTTTGGTTTTAAACCCGAGGATGGCTGTGGTGCCCTGCTGGAAGACGCAGCGTGTGCGGTGATGAGCAGTGCTTGTGGCATGAGGGGGTGTGGGCTCTGCCCAGGGGCCTTCAGGAGAGCACTGAACTCCTACAAAGGTGGTTGGGCTCTAATGAAGGTGGTTGAGCTCCAATGAAGGTGGCTGAGCTCTGATGAAGGTGGCTGAGCTCTAATGAAGGTGGTTGAGCTCTAATGAAGGTGGTTGAGCTCTAATGAAGATGGTTGAGCCCTAATAAAGGTGATTGAGCTCTAACGAAGATGGCTGAGCTCCAGTGAAGGTGGCTGAGCTCTGATGAAGGTGGTTGAGCTCTAATGAAGGTGGTTGAGCCCTAATGAAGGTGGCTGAGCTCCAATGAAGGTGGCTGAGCTCTGATGAAAGTGGTTGAGCCCTAATAAAGGTGATTGAGCTCTAACGAAGGTGGTTGAGCTCCAGTGAAGGTGGCTGAGCTCTGATGAAGGTGGTTGAGCCCTAACAAAGGTGGTTGAGCCCTAATGAAGGTGGTTGAGCTCTAAATGAAGGTGGTTGAGCCCTAACGAAGGTGACTGAGCTCCAGCAAATGTCTTTGAGCTCCAACAGAAATTGTTGAGCTTCAGTGCAGGTCTTTGAGCTCCTACAAAGGCGGTTGAGCCCCAGCAGAGGTCTTTGAGCTCCAGTAATGACCATGGAGCTCCAACAGAGGTCACGGAGCTTCAACAAATTGCCCAGAATGATGATTCCTTGTGCTCATAGATGTTTTTCCCCCTTTCTTGAGGTGTTTCTGACTCCTGGTGACCTGCTGAAGCCTGGCTGAGTGCTCAGCTGTCAGTCTGGGGAGTTGGGCTTAGCATTCGGGTGGTGGTTGGCGTGCATTGGGCTGCCTCTGTGTGTGAGGGTGCTTTCAAATGGGGTTAAAAATAAAACAATCAGGTTCTTACATCTGAGAGATGTGTGCCTTGCTGGTGTGCTGCTCCTGAAAAGAGGAATGTGGTTTTCACACTAAACCTTTCTTAGGTGGTTAACAAATGGCTCAGTTTTAGTGAACGCAGACGTTCCGCAGCTGACTTCCAAATAGTTGAGCTGTTTTCAGAAGGAGAGCTATCCATCCTCCTGCTGGAAGCTGATTCCTGGGATATTTAAAGGGGCTTTGAAGAGTTCAGAAGCAGCACCCGCTCATCTTCCATGTGCTCATCTCTGGTCCCTGGCTCACTGGAAGTCTCCGCTCCCGTCGTGCTCCGCAGTTGGAATCCTTGACATAGGCTGTGCTGTGACCTCTGCTCTGCAGGAAGTGACTCTTTACTCCCACTCTCTTGGTTATCACTTACCCAGTTGTTCCTCCCTTTGGGACAGTCCCTGTGCCAATATGGCCTTATGGTTTCCTGGCAAGGAGCCTTTGAGAGACAGCAGCAAGTCTTGTAAAAGGCAGCAGTCTGAGCTGCTGCTGTGCGCTGAAAGTCCCCGTGCAGAATCCTGTCTGACTTTTTCTCCTGCAAAAAGTGCTGCCTGATGATTCTACCCTATATTTTCACGCAATTTCATTTGTCCTGTATGAGTGTTGGGTTTGGAGATGTAGAATTTGTTGGTTTGCTTTGGGACTGTTGTCTTGAGGAGTCCCTCGAGGAGTGAGCATGTGCCTTTTTCTTGCTCTGTGAGTACAGAGATGGGGAAATGGCTTTGTTTTTCCATGTCTCACTGTTCTCTCTTCTAGCAGCACCGAGCAGTCAGCCTGTTGGTGGGGCTTTCTGGGTATTTCTTGAGGCCTCTGAAGCAGCAGAGTAGCAGTGGGGTGGGTGCAGGGATGCCTTGCTAAGGGAATCGTTGGGGTTGCCTTGTTCTGTGGTCAGCCCATGTTTTCCTGAGTGAATGAGCTGTGGTCCAGCATGCGCTGCTTAGCATCCTTTGTGCTCAGAGTGTTTTGGAAAGCAGAATTTTGTTTGCCTCTCCACGAGGACACGGTTGGGCCACCTGTGAGCTCCAGCTGGGAGAGGGGTGCAACGTGAGCAAGAAGTTCTGTAACTTAATGAGGCTGTGTGAAGACATGCAGCCTTTCAGTACCTAAAGGGAGCCTAAAAACTGGAGGGGAGTCAACTCTTGGAAAGGGTAGATAGCAGCACGACAAGGGGAAATGGCTTTAAGTTGAGGGAGGGCAGATGGAGGTTGGATGTCAGGGGAAGTTCTGTGCTGTGAGAGCGGTGAGGGGCTGGAACAGCTGCCCAGAGAGGCTGTGATGCCCCGTCCATCCCTGGAGGTGTTGAAGGCTGGGTTGGATGGGGCCCTGGGCAGCCTGGGCTGCCGTGAAATATGGCAGGGGGTTGGAGCTCCGTGATCATTGAGGTCCCTTTCAACCCGGGCCATTCTGTGATTCTGTGCCCATACTCCTCAAGTACTGAAAGCCTGGAGATAAGAAACTGGGGGAAGTTTAGCATTGCTGCGTGTTCTATCAGTAGAAGTCAGCTTGCTTTTTCCCTTCTGCCATAATCCAGTGCTGGTGAATGAGGTGTTACCCACCCAGCGTCTCCAGCTCGGCTCTGCGAGAGCCATCCGACTTACAGGAGCAGACAGCACTGCTCTCTTTGGGCTTCTCTCTTTTCTCCTGAAATGGCCGTGAGAGTGATATCTGGGTCAGCTGCCTCCAGCGTGTCACTTTCTTTTGACACTCATGGCTGTGAGCGTGCCGGAGGAGCACGGTGGGAAGCGCCGCAGTGGGATCAGGAGTCGTTAAAGGGGTGCTGTGCTGATCTGCATCCCTTCGGGGGAATCTCCCTGATGGCTGCTCAGACCTGCTTTCCTTCTGATCTCAGCACTGTGTCCCGGCTCTCGGCGTGGGAGCCCCCATCCGTCCTCAGGGCTGCTTTCAGGTATGGGGACATCAGTGGGACACCGTGCTGCGATGCGCGTCCTGAGCGTGCCTGCTGGGCTGCCATCCAGCACGGGGTGGAAGGGGCACCGTGCTGCTCGCCTGTATATTTCCAGACCCTGTAACACATCCCCCCCATCGTTGTGTTCATTCTTACAGGAAAAGTAGTTCTGCTGCTTGAGTCCCAGCCTCCTCTGTGTGGCACCCAGTGATGGGTTGGCACCCAGCGGGCACTGAAACACAGCAGTCCTGCTTGAAGATGTTGGAACAGGGTGTCTAGAGAGCTTGTGGATTCTTGGAGGAAATCCAACTGGGCAGAGTCCTGCCGAGCTGCACTGGTTGGTAGCAGTGGGCTGGATCTGCCTGCCTGGCCCTTGCCAGACCTGTGGGTTTGGTGGCTGCACTTGGTGGCTCCTCTCTGTCCCAAAAATGGAGCAGTGGGGTATGTCTGTGTTTGGAGCCAGAGCTTGGGAGCCTGCCCTGGAACTCTGTCAGAGTTGTGGTATGAAATCAGGAGGTTGAATTTGTAGTGTCAACTGCCTGATGGCAAAACGTTGTACATTTTGGGGGTAACGTGCATTGGTACAAGAAGAACTGGGGGCTGAGCATCTTTGTAAGTAAATTAGTTGAATGGGTGATTCTGTGTTGGTGTCTGCTCGATGCTGGGCTTGTGGGCACGCTCATCTCGGGAGCTTTGTGTCCTGTGTTGCTCCATCACGAGGTGTCCAGGTGGGAGCAGCTGCTGGAGAGCACTCTGGGTATTTGGAAAGCAGAGCTGAGTGTTTCTGGTCACAGAATCATTAAGGTTGGACAGGACCTCTAGGATCATCCTGTCCAACTGTAATCATCTTGCAGAAACCCAATGGAATCCATGTTGAGAGGAATAAGGGGAACTAAGAGCTTGATCAGAAATATTCTGTGGCCCTGAATCTGTACTGAAACTGTGCTCACTCAGTGGGTTTGTCATTGGGGTTGGCAGCAGTGGTCATTTTGAGGATCTGCTGCTGATCTGTGGATGCCATAAGGCAGTGCTGTTTGCTGGCAGTCCGAGAGCTGGGTGTTGGTTGCAGACCTTCATGTTTGGCTGTTTGTTCTTGACGGATTTGAGGTTCAGATTCGATCTTATTGCACGAAGGCGTTGTTGCCCTTTTCATCCCCTGCCCCGTTACTCTTTACTTTCAAGTCATGGAGAGGCAGATGAGCAGCTCACGTGGCAAGCTGCAGGCCCAGCTTTGGGTTATGCTGTGGCTCGTTGCCCCCAGGACCAGCTGTTCCATCTCACAGGCTGTCAGATAACACCCTGCCTTCTCGTGAAATCTGCTGACCAGCTTGTTTTCTCCATTATTACATTTCACATCATCGGAATGCCAGCATCACCTGGGGCTGCTGAACTTCCTTGCTATCTCGGGTCTGTAGGATCCCAGAACCCCACAGAGCCGACAGCTCACCTCCACCGCCCTGGAAATACCTCTTCCTGGAGCTCCCCGTTGCTGTAGGTGAAGTGAATGCCAGTTTGGCCAGCACAACACATCTCCCAATTCCATTTGAGTTGTGTCACTGCGGGGGAGCGATGCTAAAACTGTCACTTGGCTTTCCATGCTGGCATTACTGGGGGGCACTCGGAGGCTCTTGGGGGTTCGGCTCTTATCTGCGAGCTCCAGCTCATCTCTGAGCTGAATGCTTGGTGGGTACACGCGTGTTGGCTTTCCAAAAGATGCGTGTTTGACATCTTTATTTTTTTGACAGCACAAGAATCTGATTATTTCTCCACCTCTCTTCAGCCTGCTGTTCTATTCTGCCCAGATCTGTGGTTCCATCATCCGAGGTGCTGTGCTGGTGATGGGTTTGGCCATCGCTTTCTTCCTTCTCGAGTAGTAAAAATTGAGTGAATGTAAATGAGATTTGAATGAATTATGCTAGTTATGCATTCATCCTAATTCAAATCCTATCTTAATTAGCCCGGGGGCCTAATTTGACTTTCACGCAGCATGAAACCACTTTGGATTATCACTGGAATTGCCATGCATTTATTCTGGACTTTTTTTTCCAATCAGCGCGCATCTTTTTACACTGCTTAAAAACAAAGCAAAACTAATATATCATTAATAAATTAATCAGATTTAATTAGGGCGGCACAGGAGGGTATATTTTAAGGGGAAAAATGCTGTAAATCCATTCCCTGTGCCGAGTGCTTCTGCGCCGAGCGTGGGGATGAGCTCATGACACAGACACAGAGTGAGGCTCTCTCTCGGATGCACTTTCTGCCATATCTTAAACGAGCTGGAATTGCTGACGTTCTGCCTTTTTCAGATGTGTGTCAGCATCCATCGGCTTCTCCTTCAAACGGTGGAAGATTATTGAGTTAAATATTGCCGGGCCGGCAGATCTGGGAGGCACTCAGTGGACGTGGGCTGAAGGCTGCTGCCGTGTGTCTGGTCCTGCAGCACATCTGCGAAGGCAGAGCTGCTCTCTAGCTCAGAAACTGAAGGATACAACCGTGTGAAATTCAGAACTCTGCGTATGATTCCTTCTTTCCTTCTAATTAGATTGAGATGGACGTTTCCAGCGGGACAGCGGGTTAATGAGAGGTCGTTCCATTGAGCCCAAAGGTTTCCTTACAGACAGAAGGTGCTGCTGGTGTGTTTTCCCATATTTGTATCCGCAGCTTTCCTCTGGACTGGGGCTAAATATAGAATAAGTGACGTTTTCTTGCCAGGGAGAAGCAGAGCTGCTCAGCAGCTTCAAATCTGAGCATTGAGAGCCTCCTAATCAACGCACGCCGTTAACGCACAGCTGATAAGCCTTGTGCTGTGAAGGCTGTGTTAATCTGAGTGTCAAGTCTGCGCTGTCAGCATCTGTAGGTGAGCTGTGATCTCTCATTTGTGTAATCGCTGGCACTCAGAACGGGGAACGATCTCCGTCCTGAAGTGAGTTCAGGGAGCGGTTCACAGCTCTGCCTCTTTTCCTGCTCCGCTTCTCCCCACGTTCCCCACAGAAACAAATGGAGCTCTGATCTCTTTCAGGCATCTTCCCCTTTCTTCAGATGGACTCGAGGCTGACGCGTTCGCTCTCTGACGTCCTGCCACTTGTGAAGGATGCACACACCGGCACGGCGTGCCGTCTTGCTAACGAGGAGGTGAGATCCCTTATGCATCAGTTGCTTTTGCTGTATTGCAGAGGATTCTGACTCCTATTCACTGCAACCCAGTGACTGCTCTTACCCAATGACTCGTGCTTTTCCTGAAATACGTCCTTGCATTGAGCTTGGCCAAAGCATTTTGTTTCAATGGGCTCAGCCTCCAAAGCTGTGTATTTATCTGCATCAGTTACACTCTGTTTCCATTTGTCAGTCTGCAGGCTTCTGTACCACATGTGGCATTTGTCAGGCCTGGATTGCTGGGTGCAGAGCTGTTTCTGGTCTTGGTGGAGCTCACTGTAACTGGGAGCAGTTGATTTTTGTTCTAATGTGGGAATTGTTTTCCAAGGTCTCTAGTGGCTGTTACGTGTGCTTTTTTGATGCTGTATCATGCTATTTTTTTTCTCATCATGCCATCAAGTACCGAATCAAACAACCCACCCAGTCCAGCCATGTTGTGCTGTGCTGATGACTTTTCAGTATAACATTTAATTTCACACAAAAGGTAAATTTGCATCATTTCATTCGTTGATGATACGCTGATGGCATCGATGGTTGCAGTGATGATGCATTGATGGTGCATTGGCTGCGTGGATGTTGTGCTGGTGATGCACTGATGCACTGATTTGGTTATGCTGTATCAATGCATTAATTGCATCGCCTCAGACCTCAGCGTGCTGCCTGTGAACACCGCTGTCGTTGCATGGAACAACTTGAATAGCTGTAAGTTGTGGATTTGCAGGGCAGCACTGCTCAGCTCATGGTCTGTATTGGATTGTCCTGTCCTGAAGCAAAGTCAACAGCAGTTGCCTGCTCTCAGGTTTTGGCTGAGTGGCTCATTGCTACCTTAAGACAGCCGGCATTGCTCTGTAGGGTCCTTTCTTCCCTTTTTCAGGGCACTGAGGTATGCAGTGTAATTAAACTAGCAGTGCTTCTCCGTTGGCCGTGGGTGGTGGAGGCCAACATTGTTAGCTCAGATTTCAGCAGTGAAAACAAGTCCTGGTGTCAGCAGTGGGACGCAGCCAGCGGTGCCCATAAAATGTCACAGGAGCTGAGCTTCTGATCCACTGCGTTAAGGAGATTTCAATCCAACGTGTAAACATTAGAAATGCAGAGCAGCCATGCCTTTCTCTTCTGCATGGAAGCCGCTTTGGAAGCAGGATTTGTTTGTGCAGTGGCAGAGAGCTGCTACTTTACTTCTTGACAGAGGACTTACCAAAAGCCTGCAAAGGAGACGTAGGTCTTCAGACAAGTCCTGGCAGCTGGAGCTTCCCGGTAGCAGGTGATTCCACAGAAGAGTTCTGCGTTGGTGGTCAGATTTGAGCCTTTCTCTCCCGATTGCATGTTTGCAGCATGCGGCCTTGAGCTCATCAACTCAACTCTTTTGGGGGTTTTGTCTGTTTTCTAGGTAAAATAATTTGACCACCATGAGTTGGAGCTTTCTGACCCGTCTCTTAGAGGAGATCCACAACCACTCCACCTTCGTTGGCAAAATCTGGCTGTCGGTGCTGATCGTGTTTCGGATCGTCCTGACCGCCGTGGGAGGCGAATCCATTTATTACGATGAGCAAAGCAAGTTTGTGTGCAACACGGAGCAGCCCGGCTGCGAGAACGTCTGTTACGACGCTTTTGCTCCTCTTTCTCACGTGAGGTTTTGGGTGTTCCAGATCATCCTCGTCGCCACTCCGTCCGTCATGTATTTGGGCTACGCCATCCACAAGATCGCCCGCATGGTGGAGCACAGTGATGTTGACAGAAGGTTCAGGAGCAAAAGCTTTTCGACGCGCTGGAAACAGCACCGAGGCTTGGAGGAGGCCGAGGACGACCACGAGGAGGACCCGATGATGTACCCAGAAATAGAGCTGGAAAGCGAACGGGAGAACAAGGAGCAGCAGCCCCCTGCCAAAGCCAAGCACGACGGGCGGCGGCGGATCCGCGAGGACGGGCTGATGAGGATCTACGTGCTGCAGCTGCTGGTGAGGGCGACGTTTGAGGTCGGCTTTCTGGTCGGTCAGTACCTCCTGTATGGCTTTGAGGTCAGCCCCGTGTTCGTGTGCAGCAGGAAGCCCTGCCCCCATAAGATAGATTGCTTCATTTCAAGGCCGACCGAAAAGACCATCTTCCTGCTCATAATGTACGGGGTGAGCTGCATGTGTTTGCTGTTGAACGTGTGGGAGATGCTGCACTTGGGGTTTGGCACCATCCGGGACACGTTGAACAGCAAGAGGAAAGAGCTGGAGGACTCTGGGACCTACAACTACCCCTTCACCTGGAACACACCCTCTGCTCCCCCCGGCTACAACATCGCCGTCAAACCCGACCAAATGCAGTACACCGAGCTGTCCAACGCCAAGATGGCCTACAGGCAGAACAAAGCCAACATCGCCCAGGAGCAGCAGTACGGCAGCAACGAGGAGAACATCCCCGCCGACCTGGAAAACCTGCAGAGGGAAATCAAAGTGGCTCAGGAACGCCTGGACATGGCCATCCAGGCGTACAACAACCAAAACAACCCCAGCAGCAGCTCCAGAGAGAAGAAGTCCAAAGCAGGCTCCAACAAAAGCAGCGCCAGCAGCAAATCGGGGGACGGGAAGAACTCTGTCTGGATTTGACCTTGGCTGAGTTTATATGTTGTCTTTTTCTCACAACCAGCAGCCCGTTGAGTAATGGCTTCCATTAAGTAAATATTTGGTTCTGCTTATTTTCAGGGATGCTGTTGGCTAGCGATTCCAGCTCCAAGAAAGTGTTTATATGCGCACTGTAGGACTGTACAACTTTATTCTTCTGCCTTCCAAGCCAGGAGACAAATAGGTATATTTAAATCATTCTCATTGAAGGGTTTACGCTGTATGTACAGTATTATCGTACATTTATTATGCACAATTTTTGTATTTGTACACTGGATCTCCGAAGTTACCCTTTTTTATACGAAAGGAGAAAACTGTAGGTAGCTGTCAGCATTTTGCTCCTTTTATTACTGTGGTTCGTCGTCGTTTTCTGTTTGTTTTCAGTGTCAGAACTTTCAATGCTGCATTTGAGAAGTGCCTTGAACACACAGCACCAGGGAGCCAGATCTGCTCCCTTAGAGCAGGGGGGGGTCGGAAACGTCTGCTGATGGTGCTCTTGACTGTACCTTCTATAAAAATGATGTGCTACCTACAAATGGAAGTGTCACGCTGTGGCTGTTATGTGCTACGTTTCTTCATCCCGTGGAAAATGACTTGTAGTTCCACATATTTGCATATTCAAGAGGTTTCTGAGGTCTCTCGTTACGTAACACCCTGCTCCAAACGTCCCAGAGCTGCCTGTATGGGGGCCACCACCTGCCTGTCTCACCCAGGTGTCCCCGTGTCCCTTCTCCCCTGGGGTCACTGGGACACTCATTCCCCTGGTCCCTTTTGTCCCCCTTGTCCCTGGTCCTCCTTGTCCCATGAGGTCGTTGGGATGCTTGTTCCTTCGGTCTCTTTTGTTCTCGCCCCGTGCCCCTTCTCCCCTTGTCCCTGTCCTATGAGGTCATGGAGATACTCCTTCCCCTTGTCCCGTTTGTCCCCCTTATCCCATGGGGTCATTGAGATGCTTGTTCCCCTGGTGCTGTTTGTCTTCCTTGTCCCATGAGATCATGGGGATATTTGTTCTTCTGGTCCCATTTGCGCCCCTTGTCCCCATGTTCCCTTGTTCCCTGGGTCTGTTTGTCTCTTGGGGTCGCTGGGATGCTCATTCCTCTGTTCTCTTTAGTCCTCCTTGCCCTCTGTCCCTTGTCCCCTGTTCCATGAAGTCTTGGGGGCACTCATTCCCCTTGTCTCCATGTCCCCTTGTCTCCTGATTGCTGTCCCAAGGTCATGGGGACACTCATTCCCCGTGTCCCTTTTGTCCTTCATGTCCTGTGGTCCCTTGTCCCCTGGGGTCACTGGGATGCTTGTTCCCCCGATCCCATTTGTCTTCCTTGTCTCCATTTGTCTTCCTGTCCCTTAAGGTCATGGGGGTTTTCGTTCCCCTGGTCCCATTTGTTCCCATGTCCCCTGGTCCCCTGTCCCACTGGGTGTTTGAGGTGCCCATTCCCTGTGTCCCCTTTGTCCTTATGTCCCCTGGTCCCTCACTGCGTGTTTTCATCCTATGGAAAACGCCTCATAACTCATAACATATTTACATATTGAAGATGTTTCTGTGCTCTCTTGTTGCATAACACCCCGCTCCCCGGGGCTCCCACTTGTTCCAGTCCCTTCTGGGGCAGATTGCTGTGTTTCCAAAGCAATGTGCTTGGATGGACTCGTGGTCACTCTGCTCTGTGGCAGCCCCGCTCCCCCGGCCCCGCGCACACACCTGTCTGTACAGGTCTTTACAAAACCCTTCTGACTGTAAACAGCAATGCCTTATCCCCGACCCCTCTTCCTCCTGTCACGTCCGAGGGGCCGAGTTCAGACAGAGCAATAAATGCTTCATTTCTGCTCGAGAGGCCGGTCAGATCCGCGGCGTTCTGCAGCTTTGGCATTCAACTTGAATTTATAATTAGAAAAAAAAAGGGGGGAGTGGGGGGGGGGGAATGCAGTATTTACTGCCCCTGGCAGTGTCTTTTTGGCCACGATGAGCATTCACATCTGAGGGACACTGAGAAATGCCTGCTTTTTGTTGCTCTGTGTCACGCTTTGGGACTTTGCTCCGTGCGCTCCGCTCCCTGGCAGTTCCAGCGGTGCGAGCAGTGCGCCTCTGCTTTGAGATAAGGCGTTCCTTGCAGGACGTGTGGCAGCCCTCTGCTGGGGTCTGTGGCTGCAGTTGGTTTCAAGGCTTCGGGTTTGGCTCCTTTCTCCGGAAGAAATGATAATGCATTACTTGAAAACGCTCCTTGCTCTGGCTTGATGCAGGCCATCCTGAAATAAACGCTCAGAGCAGATCTTGGACCAAAAAAAAAAAAAAAAAGAAAAGAAAAAAGAAAATGAACGTACCTTGAGTTTGTTAACCTCTGGTTTTGTCTATTAAATGCAGTTCAGAACAGCAGGCTGAGGCGGCGTTTTTGCAGTGCTGCGGGGATGGGGGGGTGCAGAGGTTGGGGTTTCAACCTGTTTGACCTCAGCGTAACAAAGAGCCTCTTTCCAACGGCGTCGAAAGGGAGGAATGTGGAGAGTGAGCCCGCAGGAGCTCCTCCCGACCACCGGGGATCTGCATGGGCGCATGTGGAGGAGCGGCGCGGCGAAGCGTGCGGCCTCAGCTGCCCCGAGCGGAGCAGACGGGGCCGGCTGCCTTTGCACGTCGCAGCTGAATGCCCGTCTGTTTTGCTGTCACAAAGGATCGCTTTGTGAGCTGGGCTGTTGGTGGAGGAGCAGGATGTAACCCACCTTCTGCAGCAGCCGCTCAGTTCGTCTCTATCAGAGCAGTGTCGGCACACGGGTTCCTCCCTGCTTGGAAAGCAGCGCTCTGCTTTCTGCAGGGTGCTGTGGGTGTTGGGGTGCTGCTGTGCCAGGAGGGGGGTCTGTAAGGGGAAATCTCTTCCCACGTCTCCGACCAACGAGGCCTCGTGTCAGCGATGCGTCTCAGCTGTGCACACACACAGGTCCTGCAGCCTCCCGACTGCCACCCTTTTATCTGGCCCTCGTTTAAAGCTGTGCGGTGACTCCCGTGAGCTCCTTTCTGTCTGAGCGTTCCTTTTGCCCTGGGAGGAGCACAAAGCCCCGCAGCCACAGCTCAGAGCAGCGCTGCTGAGTGCCAGCCTGAAAGATGAGGGACGGCACCCAAACCTTCAGCCTGCTCAGCAAAGCGGCGCGTTGTTAATCAGCTCCGGCGGTAATTGAGGGCCCTGTGGTCGCTGAGCTGCTGCCAGGAATGTAGGGTGCCCTAGCAGCCAAAGAGCCTCGCTGAGCTAAGAGCCACCCCGGCCCTGAGCCCTTTGTCTCACACACACAGCGCGGATCAGCAGCTGCGCCTCATCTGTCATCCATATTTGGTAGCAAACTTGCTCACATCTCAACAGCTCTTTGCAGGAGCTGCTGAAGAGTCGGTGTGATGACATCAGCGGTGAGCTGAAGCTCGGTGGGCTCGGAGCTGGGATGTGGTCAGCATGCAGGGTCAGCACATGGGGTCGTCCATACACAGGTTTGGGAGAGGGGAACCCGTGCTGTGCACTGCATGCAGCGTTCAGCTTTCAGAGCAAATGCTTCGTGCCGCAGACATTCTTGCTCTGCGTTAGCATCTCTTTTCAGCCCTCTTGCCTTGCAGTGGAAGGGAAGCTCGGCACACTCCCATTATCACCGAGCTGAGGTGGCCACAAATCCTCCTGCTGAAAACCAGAGAGAAAATCTGCTTGTGAGGACTTTGCAGCGCGGCTGCGGAGAAGAGAAGCAGCTCCAAACCCAGCAGAGCAGCTGCAAAGCTGTCCTGCCGCGGGCAACATGGGGAGATGCGTGGCCAGGAGGTAAGAAACGTCTAAAGCAAGAGCAGACACGTGATTGTATCCAACAGAAAAGGAGTTTATTCAAGGAAATGCAGGGAGGGAGGTTGGGAGGGGTGCTGTGCACAAAGCATGAATGCCGTTCGGCTGATGTTCAGCTCGGGGAAATCCTCAGTGCTGCAGGGCAGGCTGCTGCTGTGCAGGCACAGCGATACCCAGCTCCCCATAAACGTGCAGGGTTCTGAGCAGAGGGCAGGCTGTATGCACTGCTCACCCAGAACGTGCTGAAGAAGCTGCAAAATGCCTTCAAGTTTCCTTCATCCATTATAACACGCTGTCCCTGCGTGAACATTTCCCCTGGATGTTGTTTCCCCATCGCCCCCAGGGAAGGGAAAGTAGAAAGGGAAAGAAGTGTGCGCTGCTGGGCTGGCAGCAGTGTGAGGTGCCGCTCGGTTCAGTGAGTCTCTGAGATGCGGTTTCCCATCACCTCACTGCTGAGCTGCAGTGGGCTTATATAACAGATGGGTTCCTTTCTTTTTTATTTCCCCCCCCATAAGGGAAGCTGTGATCCTCTGTAATGTTGGGATTTCTTGGCATTTCTTATCTGTGTGCATCTTCTTCGTATCCGACGCGGGAGGAGAAAAGCCTGACAGCGAAAGGAGATCCCAGCAGTGCTGGTGGCAGCACGAGGGGACGGGGGTTACATAAACTGCTCTGACCCCGAGTGCCACAGCACTGCAGACGTTCCAGGAGTTCTTCAGGAGCTCCGCAGCCCTCAGAGCTGATTTAACAAATTGCCGTTTTGTCATCGCTTTGAAATCCTTCAGAGAAATCTGGGAGATGTGCTCAGGATGCTGAGCCGCCGCTTTGCCCAGCAGGCTCTGATCCCCACCTCCTGCAGGGCAGTGGGAGCTGCAGGGGGTTTGACGCCCGCCTTGGGGTCGCTGCTGCCGTGGTGCCTGATGGCCTCAGCTCCGCAGGGGTCAAAGCTCCCCAGCAGCAACGTGAACTCAGCACTGCGAGGGAAAGAGCAGCAGCGAGGCTGGCCTGTGGAGTGATGGGATCTCTGAGCTGGAAAAGACCTCCAAGGCAGCATCCCAGCCAGGGGAGCGCTTCCAAAAGGGCGGTGGGAGATTTCTTGCATCGCTGGGAACTGGGTTTCCCCCATGGCCCCCAGGGCGTTTGCACCCCCAGTGCAGCCGGGAGGAGCGCCGGAGCCTCCCATCGCATTTCCAGCTGTGCTGGGCTGGCCGTGTCCCTTCCTTTCTCCTTGTCTGAGCGTTTCCTGCTGCAGCAGCGCTCCAACACGCGATGCCCCATCGCCTGCAGCGGCTGCGTGTCCCATTTCCCAGCAAGGCCAGCAGTGGGTCAGGGCCTGGTCGCTGCCTGCTGGCGGAGCTGCTCCTTCCCACGGCTGCAGCACGGCTGCTTGGAGATGCTCACTGCTCCCCCGAGCTGCTCCTGTCCGCGCACGGCCGTGTTCTGTGCCTCCAGCTGTGGCCTCGCTCTCAGAACTCGGCAGCAGGTGCCAAATACCAGCTTTCATTTGTCAACTCAGGGAGGAAGCAGAATGGGATGAGGGTGAGGGGCCAGGGCTGAGGCTGAGCCCTTGCCGTCCCCTCTGCAGACCTCATTCTCCCACCCTGGGTGCAGCCCAGCAGCCTCTCTCCGGTGTGAAGCACCCAGAGCACGTGGGCTCTTGCTTTCTCTCCCCTTTTCCTTAATCCCCCAAGCACGGCTCCCTGCAGGAAGGCATCCTCCCATTCCAGCCCACATGGCAGCGT